CTGCGATTCCGGTGCAGCGCTCTAACCAACTGAGCTACAGAGGCCAGCTGTTAAGCTGTAACCGTAAGTTCATGTATATATAGGTAATCGGGTGTGCGGGTTGTGATAAGGTGGACTTCATGACTTAGATTCTTGCACTTCACTTAATATTAGAATGTTAGGGTTTGGAATCCAAGTGAGAATAATTATTAAATACTCTATCTCCATATTCTCCATAAAATATTAAATACTCTATCTCCATATTCTCTCATCAGATGAATTAAATGATCAGGAAGCCAGCAATCAGTCGGAGGCAACAAGACTTGCTGCGCAGGAAATACAAAAGCTAGTCGAAGAAAAGCAAAATTTAGCGAAGTTTTTACAACAGCAGGTATTGGCAATGTTTTTGTCACACACATTTTATATCCTTCATCGATGAAACAGGTGCCGAACTTCATGCTATTCCACTATTCCGTAAACTTGGAAAAAAGTGAAATCTCTGGATGCTGAGGAAAATTTTTGCACACAGTCTAAGGGAATCGTAATATCACACTCCTTATCTGTCATTGGAGACATGTAATATTAAACAATCAATTATACTTTGTACAGTAAAATTTTCCATTGTTTTTACGGACTTTACGTTTCCTGGTTTGCCCACCTTTGGAAAACATGGCTAGAAAAAAACGTTTCCTGTTTTGCCATGGACAATATTCGGTAATCTCGCAAACACTTCAACCAAATATTTTTGATGGAAGAATGAAATTTATCAACTAGGAGTCTATAGCACAGTAGCTTACAGTTGTTCTTTCTTTGTTTCTGAATTCTAGAGCGATATGAACGACAAATTAAATCGGTAAATATTTTACTATACGTTATATCGGGGAGCTCCATAATAATAACGGGAAATACAAGTTTGAGATTATAATCATGAAACAGCTAAGCAAAACTGTTTTTGTAAAGGGAATAGTATGTAGAATGTAGTTGCGGTTGTCGATGGGTGCTGCTCAACGATGGCTTTCCCAAAAAAAGCTTTCCCTTCAATTAGTGACTTGCACAAAAGGCTTCAAATATCTCATATGGCAGGTTAGAAGACGGAAATCTATAGCCCTCATATTATTATTAGATTTTTTAAATACTGAACACTGATTCGCAACTTACAAGGTATAACTTACAATTTTACCCGCACGATGTCTCGCATACTTACATTGCAGAAATGCATCAATCCCTCCATTAAATGAGCTTAGATCCCCCACTCATGATTTACTACACTCCCATTCATATTAATGTTCAACCCATTTGAATTTATTCAGTGAACTAGCCGAGGATGAAACAAAAATTGCCGAGCTTGAACGCATGGTGACGAACTTAAGCCGAGAGTCTCAAGACAAACGAGAATTGTTAGAAAGTATTCAGAGTGACAAAGAGACAATCAGCAAGTGAGTATAGAAATGTAGGGTTTCGTTCCCCCAGTGAACTCAATCTATTTACCTGGAATGATAACATCACAGAGTAGAGACATACAGAGACGTAACTGACCGTTGTAAACACTGCGGAAGATTACGTTATCATGTACCCACTTTTTTTCAGGCGACCGGGCGAAAAATGATCAACTGCGCATGCTCAGCAAGTTTAAAGTGAGTCGTCATCAGATCGTCATCCAATCAGATGCATGCATCTAGTAACTTGCCGAGCATGCGTACAAAAAAAGTGGGTACACTAGTTACGTCTCTGTCTGTCTCTACTCTGTGATAACATTCAGTCATTTGGCTAAAAAGTGAAGCCTCGCGTGAGCACGCGTGAGCAGTGGCTCAGCTCTCCACGCCATTCCCACGCCATATAGTACGTCAGTTTCAATCCCCTTATACGCCATCACCTCGCGCGCATAGAGATTATAAATAACACTAGAGGAGTCATCGAGTTTAAAAAATGGGAACGCAGCTAATGGGGGCAAATTCAAGTCCCGGATATAAAATCGTGCTCTTATTGGCTGATTTGAAACTCGTCACCAATGGGAACACGAATACACATCCGGGACTTAAATTTGCCCCCCAATAGTCGCGTTCCCTTTTTTTTACTGAATTAATATTACAATGCCTCCTCTAGTGTTATTTATAATCTCTATGCTCGCGCGGTCAATTGCCACGCCATATAGTACGTCAGTTTCAATCTCCTTATACGCCATCACCGCACGCGGTCAATTGCCACGCCATATAGTACGTCAGTTTCAATCTCCTTATACGCCATCACCGCACGCGGTCAATTGCCGCGCCATATAGTACGTCAGTTTCAGTCCCCTTATACGCCATCACCGCGCGGTCTATCACGAATCAGCGCGCGTCAAGTGGCGTTGGCATTGGCTTCACGTTTCTCTCGCATGTTATCATTCCAGATAAAGACATGGAGTCCACTGCGTTCCCCTGCACCATTTGTGATGGCCGTGTTTTTCACGATGAAATAGACAACTTGCATGTTAAACTAATGTTTGATCTAGGCAAAGAAAAAAGTAAATTTTCATAAATAAATTATTAAAATTGCAAAATTTGGTTGCGAAATGTTGTAAGGCTTGGAAAATATAGACTTGCGAAGTTTGCAAATTTTGTATATGTTTGTATTACGTGCGGAAATTGTTACCATTTTTGAGCCGAAAATGGTAACAATTTCTCCACGTAACACAAACATGTACGAAATTTGCAAACTTTGCAAGGCTATATTTTCCAAGCTTTATATCAATTCGCAACCAAATTTTGCAATTTTACTAATTTCATTATGTTCTTTTTAGCTGTGGTGTGATTCCCTTCTCTCTACTTATATTAGAATTTAGTCTAACATGCAAGTTGTCCATTGCAATAGCTGTGATTTTTACATGCACAATTAATATTGAATAACTTAACTGTAACTTTAATAAGTTTGCCACCTCGAGTAACTCTATTTAGCCAATATTATAATAATATAAACATGGATGTTACCTGTTCAGTTTGGGTCAAATTTTGACTCTATCCATCATTTCAAGAGGAAGTGCAAGAATCTCAGGAGAGATGCGCACATCTTAACCTCCCCTCAACCTTTTTTGCATTTATTCTTAAGAGCATTACAGCAAAACAAAGAATTAAAGGAACAGCTTGGCCAACTCGAAACACGTTTCGTCGAAATGGTAAGTCACACATTAGACTGTGTTAAAAAATTTATTTTCGAAGGAAAAGTATTACAGAATTACAGGCCTTTCCGAATGGACCATTGCTTGCGCAAACTTATTTTCGTAGCAATTCGATGCGCCATTTTGCATTATACATTTCACGCCAACCGTCTATTTTGATTGACTGCTGGTATCGATAAATCAAGACTTTTAATCGTACAGTACGTCATTGGAAACCTTCACCCGGCTGACTTTGACAGAATTGGGCAATTTGTCAAGTGTACTCAATGTTTTTTGTAAAGATTAGGCCCTCAGATTAGGCCAAGGGTTTCAGCAACTATATAGGCCCCCTGGCATACCCGGTGCATAAGATAGTAGTAAGATAGTAATTTTATCTTCTCGTGGCGAAGCATGTAAAGTGTAAATTCCAAGAAATAGACAATTCTCATTATGGACTAATTTTGAAACTAGGCAAGGAGATGCAAATAAATCACCACAGCTAGAAAGAGCATACTAAAATGAGTAAATTTACGAATTTTGATTGCGAAATGTTGTAAAATGCGGAAAATATAGCCGTAGGCTATAGCCGTAGCCGTATAGCCGTAGCCGTAGCCGCTAGGCCGTAGCTGTGTTGATTTATTTGCATCTCCTTGCGTAGTTTTAAAATTAGTCTATAATGGGAATTGTCTATTGAATAAATTCCAAAAATGTTACTGTGTAGCATGATAGCTTAAAAAATAACGTATTAATATACGAAAATTTGTGGAGCCACTGTACTAGAAATAGTCCAAGGACAAATCGAGTAAATATTTGTTAAATTTAGATGGAAACTGGATGAGAAATTAGTATAGGTTGTCTTGCTTTCTCGTGCAGAGTAAATTGAATGCGTAATAATGGACCAATCCTATATATTAATCAACATTTTGATCTCAAAAAGTCTAGACAAAATTTCATCACAGCTTGAAAGAGCAACACAAAATTAGTAATATTCCAAAGTTTCGTTGCAAAATGTTGTAAAATGCGGATAGTATATAGCCTTGCGAAGTTTGCAATTTTCAGTCATTTTGTATGACGCACGGAAGTGGTAACCATTTCCCGTTTGTAATACAAAATGACTGAAAATTGCAAATTTCGCAAGGCTATATTATCCGCATTTTACAACATTTCGCAACGAAAGTTTGGAATATTACTAATTTTGTGATGCTTTTTCAAGCTGAGATGAAATTTTTGTCTAGACTTGTTGAGTTCAAAATTTTGATTAATATGGGATTGGTCCATTAGTCCATTGTATAATTTATGCGTGAGACGTGACATAATTTGCTGGCGGAGGTTTGCAATCTCCAAGTGCCTTCTCGGTAATTTCTTCTCCATGTGGCACTGACGTGTGCTCGCCGTGACATATAATCTCCGGGCTATGTTTTAAATGCACGGATGGCATTAAATATATAATTAATGAGTTTCCATGAAAGTGCTTGAAATCTGGAATTATCACGTACGAATTGGACCGAGAATTATCAAGGCCTTGACACGAAAACCGAATTCAATAATTAGTTTATTACACATTTATCAAAAAAGACAAAATTGTTTTAGTAAAATAGTTTTAGGTATATAGATAATCGTTGAAAACTCTTAATGATGTCTTTGTAGTGCGTTTAAGCTGGAGTTAAACGAGCAACAAAATTGCTGCAACTTGCAACAAAATCTGGTTTCAACGCATGTTAAGTAGAAATGTCGACACATGTTGCCTTGTGATTTGCAATTTATGTGTAAACATTTACAATTAACATGCGTTGAGATCAGATTTTGTTGCAAGTTGCAGCAATTTTGTTGCCCGTGTAACTCCGCCCTTTTTGTGTTTTCCTCTTCTTTTTCGTCTGATAGTTTATGTAAATCGCTTTCAGTTACCTAGGCAAATCTATAGGTCTGGAACAGCTTTAATTATCTTTCCTTCGTGTGAACAAGCTGGCTTTTGCTGGCGTTGCGATTCTCTGCATGACGTAATAACTGTAGGCGTATATAAATATATAATTATATAATATATTATAGGTAATATTAAATCTTACGTTGACACGCAATGTTATAAATTGTGCTTTTTTTTGCACTTATTCACAGTCGATAACAATGGAGGTATATTTTTTTCTCAACCTGGTATTCCTATTCGCTGTGAATGTATTGTTCTTTTTCTCAGGAATATGTTTAAATTCCTTGGTCATTCTTAGTTTCTGGAGATCTGCGCAACTTCGAAAAAAATTATGTTATTTCATGATAATGGTTTTGTCCTGTTGCAATTTGCTAGCGGTTTCAACTAGTCATCCATTGTTGGCCCTTCTGGCGATGTTATGGTTGACTGAGAAGTTCCATGGTGCGTACCCTAGATTGGTGGATATTTCGTCGAAGTTCGCCACTATTTTCCTTGGATTTTCTTTATACGCTCTTCTGGTCATGAATTTTGATCGATATTTGGCGACATATTATCCTTTCTTTCATCGAACATCGGTGACGAAGAGAAGACTTTTGACTCTTCTTGCAATACTAATTCTTCTCGAAGTAACTTTGGCACTGATATCTGTATTAAACGACCTCCTCTTTCCGTACACAGTTTTTTTACTAATTTGTTTCAGTATTCTCTTTCTACCAATGTTGTTCATCAACTACAAACTGTTCAAAATTTCCAGGAAAAGTCGTAGAAACAACGGAATACCACCCGATAGAAAAAAGACGTTTTCTTTGAAAAATATTTCGAGTTGCTTGCTGGCAGTCGCTTGTTTTGTCGTGCTGTCTATTCCAGTGTTCGTCTTCATCGGTCTAAGACTGAACTCGAAAGAGAAAACAAGTAATCTAAAACTTGCAGCACTTTGGAGTAGAACCATAGTGTCGATGAATGGTACATTTAACTGCTTGATCTTTTACTGGAAAAACAAGATTCTGCGCACAGAGGGAATGAAAATTATCAAAGGCCGATGAAAGTATGTTGACGAGTATCATCTTAGTTCCGACTATACTAAATTGACGAAGACAAAAAAAAAACAGAAAAAAAGAATAAGGGAATATATATTTCGCTCTGAAGGGTGAACGAATTAGGAAGAAAATATATTTATACCAGAAGAACATGCATTCAGCTTTTTTAACAGATGATGAAGTATTATATATAAATTATATATATAAATAATTATATATATAAATTTACATGAAGTATTTGATGATTAAAAACAATAGTGGTTGCCATGGTAACGTGAAAATAATATACGAAAATGCGGCAAAATAGATTTACTCTATATAGGCACAAGCTATTACTCGATTTTAGTCAAGCCACATTTGCTGTAGGTTAAAGACCATTGTAAACACACATAAAAACACAATGCACTTTACTTGATGAATTGTCCGAAATGAATCAGTAATAGATTAATAATAACCACTGCAATTTCATCACGAAGAATGACTTAAACATTTGGCAAGAGTTGACTGTGCTCTGGTTTTCTTATACATTATTGACACTACAGCATCATTAAGCATTTAAAGGAAGGCCTGATTGGGTCTCTATATATAAGAAGTACATTGCAATGTATAGAACTGATAGAGCTGTCTGCTGTAAATTTAGTTTTCATTTTTCAAGTAAACACTTTTGGCCTTAAAAATGCATGATCTTGCGTATATGTGCTAAACTCTTATTCAGATGAAACGTGCTTGTTATCGCTTCAACCATCTGTTTTCTCACTAATAATTGCTGAAACAGATGTTGAACTGTATAATTAAGTTTAACGAGAACTATAAAGATACGTGTATTGATATAACTATAATCATGACCTCTTTCTATTTACTATACGCCATAGAGTAAATTCTATTTAAATTATCCCGGACATTAATATGTTCACTTAATTGTCATTCTGGCTTTTCAGTGACTTTTTACATGAAGTATATATTGCTATGTTATGTTCTTCGACTACATTAGTTATCTTTATTTGTTTAATTTTGCATTTTCGCCCTGTGCAAATATTAAGCTGATCTATATAGTATCCATGCACTTTGGATAATTCGTCGTGCTCAACTGCATTAATAGTTGTTGAATATCCAATAGTGCGCGAGATAAACATTTGTGATAATCTGATTATAGTTTTTCAGATAATCTCAATTTTCCAACGTGTTGCGTTAGCACCAACGTCATCAATATATAACTGTCGAAACTGTATTAGCTATTTAGATATGTCATTATACTTTATCAAAGACTAAAGTTACAATTCTAATTGAAATGTCATTTTATGCATATTAGTTTTTCATGCGAAGTCGCACGATGGAGCTATGAGCTATCTTATCAACATGATACTCGTGTTTTTTGTAAACGTATTGTTCTTTTTCTGAAACGTTTCGGTTTAAATTCATTGGTCATATACTCCGAGTTTATATCGCTCCTCGTTTGTTTTATTATAACAACACCGGACAGGCTTTGCAAATGCTATATGCGAGTAAAATTGAAAACAGAAAGTCGTCCAACTCTTACAAATATGATCTCCTTGCTCGTCGCTTTTATTTTATGGGAGTTGCAAGCAAAGTATACAATATGTTTTGCTCGACTTCAAAATTCACACAAATCCCGCTATGAATTGAAATTTGAATAAATTAAAGTTAATTTACCCAAAAACCCGAAGCGGATGTGACGCAAGGCTGAGCAAGTGCGTTAAACATGGCGGATATGATATAGTTGATGCTGCATGAGCTAAAGGTCGAAACATTGAAGCCGAAACCTATAGTGACTGGCGGCACAGGTACCCCAGTGACTAAATAGTTCTTAATTCTTAATTGTACTTCAGTCTCTCTTAATCTCGAAATCCTACCAACAATTCAAAAACTTTGCCGACTGTATCTTGAAATAATTGAGCAGTTGTCCTTCATTAATATTCAATACACGTCAGCATGCACACTTGACCTAGTTCGTCTAGCTTAGGTTCCCTCTGGTATAGGAATACTTAACCAACATGAAATGGCTTTCAATGGCCCTCTAGGAAGAACGGTTTAGACCTCACAAGTTTGATAAATTTAGTTTTTTAGTCGAACGCACGATCTTAATGTGCTATACTTTTTGAAAAAAATGAAACGTGCTTAGCGCTTGGACCATCTGTTACCTCGTGTATAATTATGGAATATATTTTGATAACAAACTCTCATTTGTATTTGTCTCTCTGCTCTCAAGTTTTTTCTCCAAAACTGCAAACTAAGAACAATGGCGAAACAGGTGTTTAAGTAAACTGCAGAAAACGCTCGTACAATGAATCAATTTTGCTCATATACGAGACTATGAACTCTTCCAGGTCCACGCAATGACTTCTCAAAAATAAGACGTCTCATAAAAAATGCAGACATTAACTGCTTGCTTTAAATAATAAATGTTATGTTGTCACGCAATATTGTTGCAACAGTCGATAGCAAAGGTGCTACAGTATTGTATCAAACTAATAGTCAGGAATATGTTTTAATCCCTTGAAGTTAAAAGTACCGCAGATTGTTGTCTATATACTTGTTATGCTCAATTCTTCAGAAGACGTCCGTTCGCGATGGAACTAAGCTATTTCATTAACCTGATATTCATATTTGCTGTGAATGTGTTGTTCTTTTTCTCAGGAATATGTTTAAATTCCGTGATCATACTCACTTTCTGGAGGTCTACGCAACTTCGAAAGAAATTATGTTATTTCATGATAATGGTTTTGTCCTGTTGCGATTTGCTTGTGGTTTTAACCAACCATCCACTGACGTCTCTTATTGCGCTTTTCTGGTTGATTGGAAAGTTCGATGTATACCCTGGCTGGGCGGATATTTCCTCAAGGTTAGCGACTATTTTCGTTGGCTTTTCTTTACTCGCTCTTTTGGTCATGAGTTTTGATCGATATTTGGCGACATCTTATCCTCTCTTTCATCGAGCATCGGTAACGAAGGAAAAACAATCAACTCTTCTTGCAATACTGATTATTTTCGAAGTTATTTTAGGACTGATGTCTGTAAACGACTTTGTTATTCCCTTTGAAGTTGGTCTTCTAATATTTATTATCATTATCTTTCCTCCGATGTTGTTCATCAACTACAAATTGTTCGCAGTCGCCAGGAAAAGTCGTAGAAATAACAGAGTATCACCCGAGATGAAAAATTCGTTTTCTTTGAACAGTATATCCTGTTGCTTGCTGTCAGTCGCTTGTTTTGTGGTGCTATTTATTCCAGCGTTCGTTTATATTAGACTAAAGATAACCTCGAAAGATGCATTGACATTGGATAATGCAAATATCGCCGCACTCTGGGGTAAAACCATATCCTGTATGAATTCAACATTTAACTGTTTAATCTTTTACTGGAAAGACAAGATTTTACGCATCGAGGGAATGAAAGTTATTAAAAGCATGAAAATATGTCGACGAGTTCAATCCCAATCTGACCATTAAGTATATTCTTCAACAATTTTTAACTTTTAAAGGAATTCTGTGTATATGTATATGTATATGTATATGTATATTCATCTTGATTGTCGACTTTTGACCTTTTTTACCCCGCTTTGCATGATTTATCTTACAATATCCTGCTGACTGCAGTGAATGGAACTACCCACGCGAAAGTCTCACATCTTGTACTATGTTTGTCAACAAGTTGTGTTCGTACTGCTTGTCCCAAGTTGTCAACAAGTTTGGAACAAACAATTAACAACTTGTAACAACCTTGTTGATATTATCAGGCTTGTTGCAAGAGGTTGTTCCAACAAGTCCGATACAGTCATGATATAACAATATTGTTACAACTTTGTGTCATCAACTTTGTAACATTCTTTGTTAGGGGCGGACCATTAGAAAAGTGATGGGGGTGGGGGGAAAGCAAAAATAAAAATCGAGCAGGGGGAAACAGAAAGAAAAAAAATTCGTGCACCAAAAATGTTTGAAAAAAATTCATTCAGAGACTATAGGGAAAATTATAAGTTGAAATAAAAAAAAATATAAGAGGGATTATATTAAAAAAAATTATCGACACAAGCAAAAAATTAAAAAAAAATATTCGTACAAGTTGAAAAATTTTCTAATGGTCCGCCCCTAGCTTATATCATGATTGTATCAGACTTGTTAGAACAACTTTGCTACAAGTCTGATAATGCCATCAAACTCGCGACCTTTGGGATACTAGTCATCCAATGATGGCTCTACCAACTGAGCTACGAGTTCAAGTTGGTTCGAATAGGTAATTCCAGCTTTTAGTTTATGCCTGCAGGGGACGATGGGAAGTAAGGTATCATATATATAGGTTATCATATAAGGGATGAGGTGATATCAGTTTTATCGCTCGAGGGATGATATCACAATTGTCACGAGCGAGTGCAGCGAGCGAGGGACAATTGTGATATCGTCCCGAGAGCGATAAAACTGATATCACCGAATCCCGAGTACGATAACCTATTTATTATATACTTGTACCTTTATCAGGGTTTGACACCCAAAAGTAAACAGTTTTGAAAAAATAGGATCATTTTAGAATTCAAAACAATTCATCATTTACTGAACAAATATGATTTTCGAAAATAAATAGACCACTCATATAAATAATATACAATTTAAGTCTTTCGTTTTGTATTATCGTTCTTGTTTCCTTCGATAAACTGTCGACATCAACCAACACGAACCTCGAGTCGGCCATCTTTGTTTTGACAAGGCGCGAAATTTAGCGGGACAAAAAACGATATCCGGGACGATATCGTTTTTATGTCCCGCTGCTTCCTACCTGATAAAGGTACAAGTATGTGATAATGCTGATTATGCTGAAAAATTTCAATAAAAACAACCGAAATATTTCAATATTTACAAGTATAAGCTATCACTCCGTGTTTACACGGCCACCATTTTTATTTTTTCAGCATAATCAGCAATGTGATACCTTACTTCCCATCGTCCCCTGCACGCATAAACTAAAAGCTGGAATTACCAATTTGATATTTCGGCACTGAGTCTCGTTCCTTCGATATCAATATATTCTCAATATAAGAAAGTTAGTGCATGCAGTTGATTATGAACAGTTTTATAGCCTAACACACCATCGATTTTTGTGCTTGCATGACTCAGCAGCAAGATGAAAGTTAACGCACTTATCGTTTGAGTTAACTGTTTTCTCTCGTGTATAATTAAATAGATTTAAATGATTATGATGTTTTGAACTCAGGCAAATTAGTGTAGATGACGCTCTTTAAGTGGCTCCACATTGGGCGAGCTGAAAAACTGCTTGCCGCGCGCTGGGAATTGAACCCGTGTCGGTTCGATACTTCGATGCCCATCGCGTAGCCTGCTCACAGACGTTGTAGTTCTTACGCCAAGCGACGAAATACTACCGTCTGCTTACCCGAGCGCCAAACTGAATTCCGCCACGTCGACCAATCAGAATTTACCTTCCAAATTCTGGAAAGTGACGTCAGTTGATTTAGGAGCGGAATAAATATAAATATATATTTTGAAAGAAGTCGTCGGTTGAATTTTGGTCAAAATTGCACATAAATTGAATTTAAAGATACTGATACTTGTCCAGGTAATAAAATGCACCATTGATGGCATGATCAGTTTGGATATTAAAGATGTTCGGTTATATTTAAAACGCGGACAGGATTGGCATATTTAATATGCTGTATGAATCTAGGCCAGACAGCATCAAATGCCGAATATATTTCGCTGAAATTTGAACTTTTGTTGGATGTTTATCTTTATAAGACAACAGAACTCGGAAGACAGAAAATGTTATGTAATACCGTGGCTTAGAAAGCGAAATATTATCTTCAAAGTAAACTAATTTGCTTTTTTAAGAAACCATTTCTGAATGTAAACTAAACACAACACAAACCCAAGAAACTTGGTATTAAAATTGCGCCGTGATGAATTTTTCAATTCGCCCAAACTTCGAAACGTTTATACTCTAACTTGGCTATACTTTTCTACATGACAATGAGAGCTTCATCTTTTAGAAGTTTTCATCGAAGTCATGGCATATAGGAAGTATCAAGAGCAATATTTGGACATGTCCTGCAGATATACTCGAGTTTCCCGATTGATTGTTTGTCATTGACATTGTTAACAAAAATTTAAATTTCGCCTACTGCATTATGCTTTAGCACTTTATATACACCGATTGTTTGCTGAACATGCGAGAAGATGATCACAATATTCTACGTAAACATCGTGAAATTCAACGCTATAGTTTCCAAAATATATCCACGCAAGTAAACAAATTTCAAGTTTCAACCCAAACAATATATTCCAATGCATGTCAAGGGCTTTCCCCAGTAGCTAATCTCTCAATATAAGGCGGCTTCCAATTGGCTCTAACTTTTTTGAACACTGCCAGATGATTGGCTCCTAAAACAAAGGGAATTGAATATGCAGCTCTGGTAAGCAGACGGTAGTATTTCGTCGCTTGGCGTAAGAACTACAACGTCTGTGAGCAGGCTACCCATCTCGCGGTTATAAGCAAGTTTTCAACAATCTAAATATTTTGAAATTATTGCAAAACCTTCATGTGTATGTCTCGTCGGCCTACTCTCAAGCTGTTTTTGAAAACGTCGAACTAATTATGCTGAAACAGGTGTTGATAATTAAACTACTGAAAACGCTTGCACAATGTATCGATTTTTCCTGCACGCGATACTATATTCTTCCAGAGCCGTGAATGTGTGCTTGTTCAGCTTATAGTACACTCTCGCAAAAATTAATGTTGGTTCTCGTTTGCACACATTTTAGAAGCTACATCCACTTACTGTGAGATCAGTGGGATTTTTCCAATTTGTGTCCTTCCAGTTACTAAAAATAGTAACTAAACGTCGAAACTCCGAAGCTGAAACCTATAGTGGCTTGCGGCACAGGTACCCCAGCGACTAAATAGTTCTTAATTGTACATAAGTCACCTGATATTTTTCATGGGCCTTTTAACCTTCTCTTGATCTCGAAATTCTACCAACAATTCAAAAACTTTTCCAGATCCGTATGTCCAATCTATGACAAGTAGTTTCAGAATGGTGTCCGAATATTTAAGAACCCTATGGATGACTTCGCATAAAAATGCAGACATTATCTGCCTGCTTTAAATAATAAATGTTAAGTTGTCACGCAATACTGTTGCAACAGTCGATGTAATGAAGCTATACAATATTATATCAAACTGCTTTTAAATATAAAGAAAATTAGTGCATGTAGTTAATTATGAACAGTTTTGTAGCCTAACACATGATCGACTTTTGTGCTTGACTCAGCAGTACGATGAAAGTTAACATGCTTATCGCTTGAGTTAACTGTTTTCTCTCGTGTATAATTAAATATATTTAAATGATTATGATGTTTTGAACTCAGGGAAATTAGCGTAGATAACGCTCTTTAAGTGGCTCCACATCGGGCGAGTTGAAAAATTGCTTGCCGCGCTGGGAAGTGAACCCGTCACCCGTGTCGGTTCGATACTTCGACCCCCCCCCCCTCCCCATCCCGCGGTTAAGCAATTTTCCAAGTATCTAAAATGTTTTGAAACTATTGCAAAACCTTCATGTATATGCCTTGCCCTACTCTCATGCAAGCTTTTTTTCAAAACTTCGAACTAATTATGCCGAAACAGGTGTTGATAATTAAACTACTGAAATCGCTCGCACAATGTATCGATTTTGCCTGCACGCGATACTATAATCTTCCAGAGCCGTGAATGTGTCCACTCCATCGTACATATTTCCAGAACAGTGCTCTAAATGTTCCATAACAGAAAATGAAGCGACCTGTTAAAGTACAGATAATGCAGACATTAAATGCTTACTGTAAATAATAAATGTATTATGTTGTCACGTAATATACTGTAACAGTCGATGGCAATGGAGCTGAAGTATTCCATCAACCTGATATTCATATTTGCTGTGAACGTGTTGTTCTTTTTCTCAGGAATATGTTTAAATTCCTTGGTCATACTCACTTTCTGGAAGTCTGCGCAACTTCGAAAGAAATTGTGTTACTTCATAATAATGGTTTTGTCCTGTTTCGATTTGCTTGTGGTTTTAATTAACAATCTATTTTTGACTTTTCTCACGATGCTATCCTTGACTGGAAAGTTGCATGATGTAAACCTGAGCTGGGTGAATATTTCCTTAACGTTAGGAACCATTCCCATTGGTTTTTCTCTACTCGCTCTTTTGGTGATGAATTTTGATCGATATTTGGCGACATATTATCCTATCTTTCATCGAACATCGGTAACGAAGGGAAGACTTTTAACTCTTCTTGCAATACTGATTAGTGTTGAACTTATTTTGGTACCGATAGCTGCAAACGACTTTGTAATTCCCTATGAAGTTGGTCTTCTGATATTTGTTGTTATTGTCTCTCCCCCAATGGTGTTCATCAACTACAAATTGTTCACAATCGCCAGGAAAAGCCGTAGAAACAACGGAATATCACCCGAGATGAAAAAGACCTTTTCTTTGAAAAATATATCGAGTTGCTTGCTGGCAGTCGCTTGTTTTGTGGTGCTGAACATTCCGGTGGTCGTCTACATTGGACTAACCATAACCTCAAAAGATTCATCGACATTGGATAGTGCATTCATTGTAGGACTCTGGGCTAAAACCATAACCTTAATGAATTCGACGTTTAACTGCTTAATCTTTTACTGGAAAAATAAGATTTTACGCACCGAGGGAATGAAAGTTATTAAAAGCATGAAAATATGTCGACGAGTTCAATCCCAATCTGGGCATTAAGTATATTCTTCAACAACTTTCAACTTTTGAAAGAATTCTGTATATAATGTATATGCATCCTGACTGTAGATTCCTGACCTTTTTTACTCCGCTTCTCATGGTTTATCTCACAATATCCTGGTGACTGCAGTGAATGTGAACTACATGTGACTGATGTAAACGTTCTTAAACCTACAGCACTGCATGTATGTGATAACATGTGATAGCAAGTTGAATAAAACGAACAAATTTAAGAAAAAAAAACAACAAAAAAAAACAAAATATGTATTTGTTTGTGAGGGTGAAGAAGGGATGGTTTACTCCTGTAGTAACTGCACTGGAGAAATCAAGGATGGTTCCTTACTGAATCTGGAGCGAGAACATTTGGACCGGATATAGAACTATCCAATATAAAGTTAATTTAGTTTAATTAGTTTCCTCTTGTGTAACCGTGCACCATGCACTAATGAATGGTCCTTACCAGACCTTTATGTAAAATAGTTTAGAACTGATATGGAGCCATCTAGTGCGAATAGAGATTTCCAAAACTGCAAATTAATAACTGCTGAAACAGGTGTTGAACTATAATGAGAACTATAGATATGGACTTTGTATAACTTTTAAATATGTTTTCTTTACTGATATACTACGGGTAGTCAATTTTAAAAATTATAACAATCCTTTATTGCAATGTTTTAAGATACAAGCATTATTATGTTCACTTCTCTTTTAAGATGTAATCTTGCATGGTGTAACATTATCTTTATGAAATTTGTCTGAGCCTCTTGTGCATACAGTATATACTAATACTGTTATACCTATACTTCGGTATACTTGACTCAAATTCAACTACAATAATAATATAAATGTTTTTTAACGCTTTTTTAACGTTGGCTTTGATTTCACTAGTGCAATGAATAAAAACAATTACTAACTTCTTATTAACCGAGCGCTAGGGGTGCACCGGAACCAGTTTTTTAAGTTCCGGCCGGAACCAGATCCGACCAGAACTGGAAAAAAGTTCCGGCCGGAACCGGAACTAATTTATTAAGTCATATATAGTCAACAACTTTGTCCGCTGCCAGACAGGCAGACACTTCAAGTCATCAAAGAGAGAGCTCGCAAATGTTAGAATAAAAAGATTGACAAGCGTTAAACGTCATAATGAAGTGTTAATAGTGTACATTTCCCTTGCGTAGTCCAAATTTCTTCCTACTGTGACCTTTTGTTAGACACAAAAACGTTTGATATTCTATCTCTCTGAAAACGACAGAGTTCCGGTTCCGGTCATGCTTTTTTTACTAGTTCCGGCCGGAACCGGAACTCTAAAAAATCGGGGTTCCGGCCGGAACTAGAAAAAAGAAATTGCCTTGCCATATATGATTGTGGCGAAATTAGTTACTCCCGTAGCCAAAGCGGGAACAAACATGTTCGCAAAAATTCATGTTGGTTCCCGTTTTCAGCACACATTTTAGAAGCTACATCCATTCTCGTACCCAGAGCCCTTCTTACGCGCGTTCGACCGAGCGCGACGAGGGGCTCTGGCCAAATCCATATCAAACTGGCATCTGATTGGCCATAGTTCTAATACCGGATATTGTTCTCTTACCATGTTTTTATGGTATCCGGTTATGGATTTGGCCAAATCCATAACCGGATACCATAAAAACATGGTAAGAAAACAATAAGAAGGGCTCTGGGTACGAGAATGAAGCTACATCCACTTACTGTGAGATCAGTGGGATTTTTCCAATTTGAGTCCTTCCGGTTACTAAAAATAGTAACTAAAGGTCGAAACACCGAAGCCGAAACCTATAGTCGCTGGCGGCACAGCGACTAAATAGTTCTTAATTGTGCTTGAGTCACCTAATATTTTTCATGGGCCTTTTAACCTTCTTTTTATCTTGAAATTCTACCAACAATTCAAAAACTTTGCCGACTGTATCTTGAAATAATTGAGCAGTTGTCCTTCATTAATATTCAATACACGTCATATTTTGGTCACATGCGGGACTACATATACTCTTCCAGACCCGTCAACTCTATGCAAGTAGTTTCAGAATGGTGTCTGAATATTTCAGAACCCTGTGGATGACTTCGCATAAAAAAATACAGACATTAACTGCCTGCTTTAAATAATAAATGTTATGTTGTCACGCAATACTATTGCAACAGTCGATGGCAATGAAGCTATACAATATTATATCAAACTGACCCCATTAATGAAATGTCGTTAATGAACCTTTAGGGCTTTTCAATATAAAGAAAATTAGTGCATGTAGTTAAAGTGCCTATGACACGAAATTTCACCCCAAATGTTTATGATTGCATTGTAAAGATCACTTAAAATAACTTAATAATTTCTTTTATAGAATTTTGATAACTTGCTTCCTTTGCAAGATATTCAACTTTGTTTCATATGCAAATATCACCGGTGTGACATCACATAGCATAATGAGATTTTGAAAACGCAATATTTTACCTTGATAAAATATTTTTACAAACAAATACAGAGGGTTAATGACCAGTTATGAAACAAATGCATATACAAGGGCAATTTTTAAGTTTTTTAGATACGTATTCGTCAAGAAAACTATACTTTTCTGAAAACTCATTATGTGATGTGATGTCACACCGGTGATATTTGCATACGAAACAAAGTTGAATATCTTGAAAAGGAAGCAAGTTACCAAAATTCTATAAAAGAAGTTATTAAGTCATTTTAAGTGATCTTTACAATGCAACCATAAACCGTTGGGGTGAAATTTCGTGTCATAGGCACTTTAATTATGAACAGTTTTGTAGCCTAACACATGATCGACTTTTTGCTTGACTCAGCAGTACGATGAAAGTTAATGTGGACTGGATATCGCTTGAGTTAACTGTTTTCTCTTGTGTATAATTAAAATATATTTAAATGATAATGATGTTTTGAACTCAGGGAAATTAGTGAAGATGACGCTCTTTAAGAGGCTCCACATAGGGCGAGCTGAAACATTGCTTGCTGCGCTGGGAAGTGAACGCGTGTCGGTTCGCTACATCGATACCCATCGCGATTAAGCAATTTTTCAACTATCTAAAATATTTTGAAATTAATGCAAAACCTTCATGTATATGTCGAGTCCTACTCTGTTTTTCAAAACTTCGAACTAATTATGTCGAAACAGGTGTTGATAAGTATAAACTACCGAAAACGCTCGCACAATGTATGGCTTTTGCCTGCACGCGATACTATATATTCTTCCAGAGCCGTGCATGTGTGCACTCGATCATACATATTTCCAGAACAGTGCAGCTCTAAATGCTTCATAACAGAAAATGAAGAGACCTGTTAAAGTACAGATATAGCATTTCCCTAGCAAATGAATAAATATAAATAAATTAAATGCAGACATTAAATGCCTGCTTTAAATAATAAATATATTATGTTGTCACGCAATATACTGTAACAGTCGATGGCAATGGAGCTCAGTTATTTCATCAGCCTGATATTCATATTTGCTTTGAACGTGTTGTTCTTTTTGTCAGGAATATGTTTAAATTCCTTGGTCATACTCACTTTCTGGCGGTCTGCACAACTTCGAAAAAAGTTATGTTATTTCATGATAATGGTTTTGGCCTGTTGCGATTTGCTTGTGGTTGTAACTAATCACCCGTTTACAACTTTTCTTGCGATGATCCTGTTGACTGAAAAGTTAGACGTATACCACAGCTGGGTGGAAATTCCCGCAAGGTTAACACACGTTTTCTATGGTCTTTCTTTGGCCGCTCTTTTGGTGATGAATTTTGATCGATATTTGGCGACATATTATCCTATCTTTCATCGAACATCGGTAACAAAGGGAAGACTTGTAACCCTTCTTGCAATACTAATTATTGTCGGACTTATTTTTGGATTGATGAGTGTAAACGAATTTATTTCCCATGACGTTCTTCTTCTAATAGTTAATATGATTTTCTTTTCTTCAATGTTGTTTATCAACTACAAATTGTTTACAATCGCCAGGAAAAGTCGTAGAAACAATGGAATATCGCCCGAGATGAAAAAGACGTTTTCTTTGAAAAATATATCGAGTTGCTTGCTAGTAGTTGCTTGTTTTGTGGTTCTAAGCATTCCAGCATTCGTTCACATTGGACTAAGGATAACCTCAAAAGATCCATCAACATTGCCGGTGAGTGTATACATTTTAGGACTCTGGAGTTCGACCTTATTCCCAATGAATTCAACATTTAACTGCTTAATCTTTTTCTGGAATAACAAGATTTTACGCAGCGAGGGAATGAAAGTTATCAAAGGTATCAAAATATGTCGACGAGTCCGATCCCAATCTGACCATTAAGTATTTTTCAACAACTTTCAACTTTTGAAGGAATTCTATGTATGCATTAGACTTTGACTGTATGCATTATATTTTGAAGGAATTCTATGTATACATTAGTTTATCTTATCATCACAGTGACTGCAGTGAATGTGAACTACACGTATATGACTACACCACTATAGTGATAACATTTGTGATAGCAAGTTGAATAAATGGAACAAATTTAAGAAAATAACAAAAAAGAAAAAAAAATGTATTGGGCTGTGAGGGGTGAAGAAGGGAAGGCTTACTCCTGTAGTAACTGCATGCACTGGAGAAATCAAGGATGGTTCTTACTCAACCTCGGGTGAGAAAATTTGGATCGGATATAGAACTATCCAGTATAAAGTTAATTTAGTTTAAGTTTCCTCTTGTGTAACCGTGCACTAATTAACGATCCTTTCCAGACCTTTATGTAAAATAGTTTAGAACTGATAGAACCATCTAGTGCGAATAAAGTTTTCCAAAACTGCAAAATAATAACTGCTGAAACAGGTGTTGAATTACTATAATGAGAACTAGATATGAACTTTGTATAACTTTTAAATATGTCCTCATTATACATTACAGTTGTAGTCAATTTTAAAAATTATAACAATCCTTTATTGCACGTTTTAAGATACAAGCATTAATATGTTCACTTCTCTTTTAAGATGTAATCTTCAATGGTGTAACATTATCTTTATGAAATTTGTCTGAGCCTCTTGTGCATATACAGTATATACTTATACCTATACTTTGCTGTACTTGACTCAAATTCAACTACAATAATAATATAAATGTAGATTCACTTTACAAAACGCTTTTTTAACGTTGGCTTTGATTTCGCTAGTGCAATGAATAAAAACAATTACTAGCTTCTTATTAACCGAGCGCGAGGTCTTTACAGAGAAATATCGGACCGAGGTCTTTTTTGTACAGACCGAGTTCGTAGGGCGAAGTTTGTATAAAAAGAGCGAGGTCCGATATTTCTCTGTACATACCGAGCAAGCGAGGTTAATAAAAAAGTTTATTATGTGGCATTTATAGGCATTTATAGTCGAAACAAACAAGAAATGCATGATTTGAAATGCATATAAGTAGCGTGGTACACATTTGATCGAAGAAAACAAAAAATAGCAATGTATTCCTTCCTTTCCACTTAAAACCATTCGCATGAGATATCTTATTAATAACAAATTAAATTATAATTTTCAAATTTCCAATTGCTGTTTTGTTTTAAAGTGCACGCGTTTGTTTCTACGTAATGGACCGCCACGGGAAAATATTTAATGGATCGCTGAAAGTGTTTCTCAGCCAATCACTGTCCGCCTTTTCACCGGAAGTGATGTTTGCCATATAATAATAATAAATAACAGACTTTATACTGTAGACATGTATTTGTAAAAGTTTTTTATAGTGAAAATAAAGATGGGTTGTCGATCAAGATTAAATGTAAATAACAACACGATATTACTGATTTTCCTTTAAAAGTATTCTTGCATGTGTAAAGTAGTTACTTTCTGCCTTATGTGGAAACCAAAATAGAAATTGCCTTGCCATATGATTCTTGCGAAATTAGTTACTCCCGTAGCCAAAGGAACAACTTTGAACGAATATTTTAGAGCAATCAAACCAATGAATTATCATAACATTTTTTCTTCATGGTGGATTGTTCAGCTTAGTCTTGAGATCAGTGGTATTTTTCCAATTTGTGTCCTTCCGGTTACTAAAAATAGTAACTAAAGGTCGAAACACCGAAGCCGAGACCTATAGTGGCTGGCGGCACAGGTACCCCAGTGACTAAATAGTTCTTAATTGTGCTGGAGTCAACTAATATTTTTCATGGGCCTTTTAACCTTATCTTAATCTCGAAATTCTACCAACAATTCAAAAACTTTGCCGACTGTATCTTGAAGTATTGAGCAGTTCTCCTTCATTAATATTCAATAATGCACGTTAGGATGTAGACTTGACCTAGTTAGTTTTGCTTAGGTTCCCTCTGGTATAGGAATACTTATAACCAACATGAAATGGCTATTAATGGTCCTCTAGGAAGAACGGTTTATATATAGACCTCACAAGTTAGATAAAGTTAGTTTTTTAGTCGAAAACACGATCTTAATGCGCTTTACTTTGTGAAAAAATGAAACGTGCTTAGCGCTTGGACCATCTGTTTCTTCGTGTATAAATATAGAATATATTTTCATGAACTCTCATCTGTATGTGTCTCTATTCTCTCAAGTTGTTTATAAACAAAGTTCGTTTAATTAAGGTTTCCTTTTGCTAGTATCACTGTGCCGCTGGTTCATTATTGAATTGTCATTACTTCATTACTTAACGTCAAGAAAGAACAGTTAATTGGAATTGCTGGACCAATCATCATATCAAGAAAATTATAGTTGATATATATAGTTTAGGTTATAGTAAGCAGTAGTAACACTGGCCCCATTAATGAAATGTCCTTTCTGAACCTTTAAGGCTTTTCAGTTTAGATAAAGTTGGTGCATTTAATTATGAACAGTTTTAGCCTAACACATGATCGACTTTTGTGCTTGACTCAGCGGTACGATGAAAGTTAACGTGTTTTCGCTTGAGTAAACTGTTTTCTATCGTGTATAATTAAATATTTTTAAATGAACTCCGCCAAATGCCGACATAAATGCTTTAAATAACAAATGTATTATGTTGTCACGCAATATACTGTAACAGTCGATGGCAATGGAGCTGAAGTATTTCATCAACCTGATATTTATATTTGCTGTGAACGTGTTGTTCTTTTTCTCAGGAATATGTTTAAATTCCTTGGTCATACTCACTTTCTGGAGATCTGCTCAACTTCGAAAAAAATTATGTTATTTCATGATAATGCTTTTGGCCTGTTGCGATTTGCTTGTGGTTGTAACTAGTCCTCCATTGTCGGCTCTTATCACGATGTCATGGTTGACTGGAACGTTGCATGATCCATACACGAGCTGGGTGAATATTTCCTTGAAGTTAGGAGCTATTCCCATTGCTTTTTCTTTACTCGCTCTTTTGGTGATGAATTTTGATCGATATTTGGCGACATCTTATCCTATCTTTCATCGAACATCGGTAACGAAGGGAAGACTTTTAACTCTTCTTGCAATACTGATTATTTTTTATCTCCCTTTTTTACTGATAGCTTCATACGACTTTGTTATTTCCTACGAAGTTGGTCTTGTAATATTTTTTATTATTGTCATTCCTCCAATGTTGTTCATCAACTACAAATTGTTCACAATCGCCAGGAAAAGTCGTAGAAACAACGGAATATTACCTGCGATGAAAAAGACGTTTGTTTTGAAAAATATATCGAGTTGCTTGCTAGCAGTCGCTTGTTTTGTGGTGCTACACATTCCAGCGTTCGTCTATATTGGACTAAGCATAACCTCAAAAGATTCATCGACATTGGATAATGTACACATTTCATCCCTCTGGAGTAGAAGTATAGTGTCAATGAACTCTACGTTTAACTGTTTAATCTTTTACTGGAAAAACAAGATTTTACGCACGGAGGGAATGAAAGTTATCAAAAGCATGAAAAGATTCCGATCCCAACCTGACCAGTAAGTATTCTGTAACAACTTTCAACTAGTTTGAAGAATTTCTATGTATGCATCTTGACTGTAGTCTTTTGACTTTTTTCCGCTTCTCATGGTTTATCTTACAATATCCTGGTGACTGCAGTGAATGTGAACTACATGAATATGACTGATATAAATGTTGTTAAACCTACACCACTGTACTGTATGTGATAACATGTGATAGCAAGTTAAATAAAAAGAACAAATTTAAGAAAAAAACAAAACAAAATGTATTTGGCTGTGAGGGGTGAAGAATGCAAGGTTTACTCCTGTAGTAACTGCACTGGAGAAATCAAGGATGGTCTTTACTGAACCTCGAGCGAGAAAATTTGGACCGGATATAGAACTATCCAGTATAAAGTTAATTTAGTTTAATTAGTTTCCTCTTGTATGTAACCGTGCACCATGCACTAATGAATGGTCCTTACCAGACATTTATGTAAAATAGTTTAGAACTGATATGGAGCCATCTAGTGTGAATAGAGTCTGTTTTTAAAACTGCAAATTAATAACTGCTGAAACAGGTGTTGAACTATAATGAGAACTAGATATGGACTTTGTATAACTTTTAAATATGTCATCTTTATATACTACGGGTAGTCAATTTTAAAAATTATAACAATCCTTTATTGCACTTTTAAGATACAAGCATTAATATGTTCACTTCTCTTTTAAGATGTAATCTTGCATGGTGTAACATTATTTTTATGAAATTTGTGTGAGCCTCTTGTGCATACAGTATATACTTATATACCTATACTTTGGTGTACTTGTCTCAAATCCAACTACAATAATAATATAAATGTAGATTCACTTTACAAAACGCTTTTTTAACAGTGGCTTTGATTTCGCTAGTGCAATGAATAAAAACAATTACTAACTTCTCATTAACCGAGCGCGAGGTCTTTACAGAGAAATATCGACCGAGGTATTTTTTGTACAGACCGAGTTCGTAGGGCGAAGTTTGTATAAAAAGAGCGAGGTCCGATATTTCTCTGTACCTACCGAGCAAGCGAGGTTAATAAAAAAGTTTGTTATGTGGCATTTATAGGCATTTATAGTCGAAACAAACAAGAAATGCATGATTTGAAATGCATATTAGTAGCGTGGTACACATTTGATCGAAGAAAACAAAAAATAGCAATATATTCCTTCCTTTCCACTTAAAACCATTCGCATGAGATATCTTATTAATAACAAATTAAATTATAATTTTCAAATTTCCAATTGCCGTTTTGTTTTAAAATGCATGCGTTTGTTTCTACGTAATGACCGCCGGTCCATTACGGGGAAATAATGGCCGCTGAAAGTGCTTCTCAGCCAATCACAGTCCGCTCTTCACCGGAAGTGATGTTTGCCATATAATAATAATAAATAACAGACTTTATACTGTAGACATGTATTTGTAAAAGGTTTTATAGTGAAAATATTAAAGATGAGTTGTCGATCAGGATTAAATGTAAATAACAACACGGTATCATTGATTTTCCTTTTAAAAGTATTCTTGAGTAAAGTAGTTGCTTTCTGCCTTATTTGGAAACCAAAATAGAAACTGCCTTGCCATATGATTGTCGCGAAATTAGTTACTCCCGTAGCCAAAGGAACAACTTTGAACGAATATTTTAGAGCAATCAAAACAATGAATTATCATAACATTTTTTCTTCATGGTGGATTGTTCAGCTTAGTACACTTTCACGTTGATTCATGTTGGTTCTCATTTTCAGCACACATTTTAGAAGCTACATCCACTTACTTTGAGATCAGTGGGATTTTTCCAATTTGTGTCCTTCCGGTTACTAAAAATAGTAACTAAAGGTCGAAACACCGAAGCCGAAACCTATAGTGGCTGGCGGCACAGTACCCCAGCGACTAAATAGTTCTTAATTGTGCTTGAGTCACCTAATATTTTTCATGGGCCTTTTAACCTTCTCTTAATCTCGAAATTCTACCAACAATTCAAAACTTTGCCGACTGTTGATCTTGAAATAATTGAGCATTTCTTCTTCATTAATATTCAATGCACGTTAGGATGTACATGCACTTGACCTAGTTAGTCTAGCTTAGGTTCCCTCTGGTATAGGAATACTTAACCAACATGCAATGGCTTTTAATGGCCCTCTAGG